AACGGACTAGTGTAAGCGGAAGAACGCGTTTGTTTTTCTGCCTTTGGCTGAATTTTGCATTTTGGTAGGACTTAGTATAGTATTGTGCTCCACAGGTTCAACACCGATGGCCAAATCCTCGCCGCAGCTTCGCGTCTCAAACCCGGAGCGCAGCGAACCCAGCAATGACAGTGTTTCCATGGCTGCACTTCATGTTAGAACGACGTGAAGAACAGGCTGAAGCTGGTGCACACTGGCACCATGACTGTGTTTCAGAACTGGCCGACGCAAAGAACGCCGCTGCACCGGGCTGCAGCCTCAGTAAGGAGATCCCTTCGCTCTGGTCCGGCTAGAGATGGCCAGAGACAGTCACAGTGTCAAGTCCTTGAGTCGGCCAGGGTGAAAGCAGACAGATGACGATAGATCTGTGATCCTCACAATAATGGATTATTTACGAGATTACGAGCAGCAATCTCTTGGTTCCGGCCAAGGGTATTGCGTTAATCACTGCAGCACGCATAGCATCAATGTGTCTGTGGACGGTTCTGAAGCCATGTTGGAGTTCTGAAATTCGCTTCCTAGGTGTCTGCATTGGATTTTTCGTCCAATGGGGGCATGCTGGCCATTGGCAATGAAGCTGGCCGGGCTAAGCCGGCACGTTTGCATCATGCTAGTTTGGTACAGTCAGGCAGCACATTGTTGATAATGCTACTTCATGTAGTTCCAGACAGTCGAGCTGCCAAGGATCCAAGCTTAAACCCGTCAGTCAAATTCGTCTGGTATTATCATGTTCTGATTCAGCTTAGACTGTACCGACTTATGCCTATAACCATAGCGAGCGCATCAGACTCTGCTGGAACTAGGACAAAGGGAAGCGCGTGCCCCACATCAGTTTTTGTGGCAAGACAAATCTTGGCATCGGCAGAAGGCCGCACTGAAGATGCTTGTCTTGGCAACTGTCGCAATGAACTTGCGTGCACCCTTGCGAAGCATGCTGGTTGTGCTGCTCTTGTTATGCCCCGTTCTCATCTTTGCAAACGTGATGGCAGGTGCTGCTCTTCAGGCTACGGAGCTACATGCAAACGAAATAGCTTGTGCTTGCTGGGAAAACCAAGGCTCACTTGCGCATCTATCCATGCACATAGCAAGGGCGGGTAGGCAGATGGACAAGCAGCCAGAGAGTTCTGTCTTGAGCTGACAGCAGAGTTATTGCTTAGCTATTCCGCTGCCGCCGCTATATCTGTCACTGACTACTTGACTTCTGGTGCCACCGCCAGTGTCAAGCACGGCGCTGCCAGACCCAGACTCTGCTATTTTGGTCTGTTGCGAATTACTCTTCAGTGTCCGCTGATGATGTACGACACTTGTTTTCTGTTCAAGTTTGCGGCAGTGTAAGTGTCTTTTGCAGACAGTTCTCTTATTGTACCAAGCTGACCATATCGCTGTTGATAGGAGTTTTCGGGGAGTGGTCGACGAAATCAAAGCTTGAGTAGCACAAAGGATTCCAAGTGGTCGCCGCATGGGACACCTCATTCCGTGCGTGTCGGCTCAGGCACAGAAGAAGTGCTACTTCTGCTAGCAACCATCGTTGGAGCACTCATTCACGCATCGTCGGCACACAATCGCATGTTGTTGTCGAGATCTGTAGTTGTACTCGAACGACGAGACCTCCGCATTTCGTTCATAAGCTTGCGGTCATGGGGAGTATGGTCACAAGGCTGCCGGAGAGCAGCCACAGGATAAGTTTAAGTCAACACGGCAGACCCACCATGTCCAGTATGGGTTGACAGCTTCTTCTTGAGTCAAATTGTGGTTGTGCATAAGCATAGCATAATTATCCGTTCTTAGTTGGCAGGATGCGTTGTATGGTTTACTGCAGCGGGCGGCACCCTAATCTGCAGCATAGTTACGTGTAGCCTGAGTGACATGAGAAACTTCTTGAATTAAGTGCGTAGCTCAAGCAAGGTCGATGCAACCACAGGTGTCAAAAGCCCGTAGATTCCTGGCCTGGGCTTTTGCACCTAGACGCATTCAGCTAGTGTTCACTCCGGCGATGACCGGCTGCCTTCTGGTCTTTTCAAAGAGACATTGTCAGAGTGTGCTGAAGCTCTGGTGCATTGCCTTGGGCTTACGGCCTGTTTTGCTTCCGTTTGCGGTGTCAGGGTGCTCTGGGCAGCTGGCTTGCGAAGTGTGTCTTGCCCCCCCCGCTCTCAACCAAAACCAAGAATCAACACCGACGAACCCCAACTTTAAGCTCCCTAAACTGAAACCCAAACTCAATTTTGCACTCCAGAGTCAGGAATCAGTCTACAGCCCAAAGCCTACACCTCAGTTCCCGATGCTCCGAGCCCCGCCCCCCTCAACTCTAGGGCTCTAGGCTTGCAGCCGTAAGCCCCGGAGCCCCAAAGCCCGAAACAAACACCATCAGCCCTGTAGGCAAACTCGAAACCATGGACCTTACAAACAATCGCGCCAGAATTCCTAAGCGCATTCCCAAATCCCTGCACTGCCATACTGAGCCCTAAGCTTCACTGCAGAGGTCTGAGCCAAAGATGATACCGTATGTACGGTAAAGTACCACCTTTTGACGTGCACATACCGGCGCTCATGAGCCTAAGTTCCGAGTTTCCAGGCCAGAAGTCCACATTCAGAGCACCCAAAACTGTAAACTCTAAACACCCTGAAAAGGCCCGGCTAAGACCCTTAGGATAGCCCGAACGCCGCAAGCCCTCACAGTCTGAACTGCCAAAACCCCATGCCCTGAAGTCCTCATGCCCTTACCAAGCGACAGCAGGTGGCTGCCCTCCTGAGGCTGTTCGCGCTTCTTGGCGGCTTGCGTTGCCCAGCCAAGGCCGAAAGTCTGGAGATGTTTGATGGTGCGGTCGGTAGCGCTGTAAAACACTTTGACCCAAGGGTCATCATCATTATAATCATCATCATCATTATAATCATCATCATCATCATCATCATCTGCCTGCTGCTTCCGAGGCCACTGCGGCACATGGATCTAAGCCAGTCTGGTGAATGCATCAGGGAAATCCAGGGTCTGTCAGAGGCAAACACAGCCCACATGACCTCTTCGGGTCCTTGCAGCACCTCCACCTCGGAAAGAAATACGACCTTACAGGAAACTTCGTTGACCTGCCCCGGCCGGCTCCACACCAGACCGTTTGGTGGCGCTCTTGCCATTTTTGCATTCGTGAGGAACCTTACCTTCCTGGATCTGAAAGTGCGGGATTGGAGACTTCAAGGACCTCCCACCGCCAGTGCCTCAGCGCATCTTACAATGGAGCCAGGTGGGGCTGCTCTCGGTACGCATGCCCCAGGAACCTTAGACTTAAAGTTGAACATGCCGATCGGCAGAGTCAGCAAGATGAGGGGCGCCATCAAAGATTTCCCTCGGTCAAAGCCTCTTTTTTTGTGGTTGTATTGCTTGGGGTTGCCTGGGCTCATCTGAGGCAACTGAGATATGTCAATTTATTACACGGCAACGGCATCAAGAAGAGCATCGCGGGCCTCCCTCGGCCAGAGCCTCAGTCTGCGTGATGCAATGATTCATGGAGACCTTGGATGCCGTGCCAGCCTCAGGAGCCTGACGTCCTGCG